GTTCAGCAAGTAAGCCGAAAGCGTCGATGGCCTCCGACTCGCACAGCTTGTCAGCGATGCCCCAGGGGCGCCTGAAGGTCATCTTGTCCACGCCGGCAATCTCCGCGGCAATCTCCGCGCACTCCTTCAGAGACTCCTCGTCCAACGTGGGACTGCTTGGTCTTGCACAGGCCCTTCGACTGAGACTTGAAGAGATCCTTCACGGTACGTCATTATCGTCGTGGCCCGCGCCGTTATCAGGGAAGACCGTGGAGGCAAAGGGGGGAAGAGGCCCCCTCCGGGCACAAACAAAATACCGGATTTGCACCGCGCGCCACCGCTAACGACGTGTCCGTCCCGCCCCGCCGCGCGCTCCGAAGGAGACCCGACGCGATGGCGACGCCACTGAGCCAGACGGCTACAGGGCTCTCACCCCGTTTGGACCCCGTTCGGGGTCAAGCTGGGCTTGAGCCTAAATGACTACTATCCTCCTCCTCCTCCTCCTCCTCCTCCTCCTCCTCCTCCTCCTCCTCCTCCTCCTCCTCCTTTTTGTTCCTTTTTTTCATGTGTTTCTCCGGCTCCTCCTGCTCCTCCTGCTCCTCTCCTCCTCGTCCTCCTCCTCCTCCTCCTCCGCCTCCTCCTGCTGCTGCTGCGCTCCCGCTGGCGGACGCACACGTCCGTAGTGTCAAGCGGCCGCGGGTCGCCCGCGGCCGCGCCCGAGCGTCGCCACCTCGCCGTCAGAGAGAGAACCTGTCCGCCTCCTCCTCCTCCTCCTCCCCTCCTCCGCCTCCTCCTCCTCGTCCTCCTCCTACTCCTCCTCCTCCCTCCTCCTCCTACTCCTCCTCCTCCTCCTTCTCCTCCTCCGTTTCCTCCTCCTGATCTTCCTCCTCCTCCTCCTCCTCCTCCTCCTCCTCCTCCTCCTCCTCCTCCTCCTCCTCCTCCTCCTCCTCCTCCTCTCGCCCCCTTCCCCCCCCCCGCGGGCCCCAGGGATGCCCCGAAGAGGCTCTCCAAGGCCTCCCCTTGCTTCCAGAGATCTCCCTGTTCATCCTGGTTGCCCGCGCTGTTTCACTATGTGTGTCCCTTCGTCCCATTTCCCGTCAGCTCTCATGGGCAAGCTTCTGAACGGGCTGGTCGGGACACGCGAAGAGTGAAGAATTCCTCGCCTCCCCTCAGGTCCCGAATATATCCATGTCCACCTCCTGTCGAGGTCCCAGAAGAGAATCCCCTAGGCAACGGTTATTGAATACAGGCTGCGAACACTCGGGGGAACCGAAGTGGGTAAACACACACACACACACACACACCGAGGGTAAACAACGTCCTGAGGATCAGGGGGGGGGGCTGCGGCTTCTGGAAGCAGGAGGGGCTGCATCATCTGTACAGGTTGGGGTGTGGCCCTCCTGCTGCCCGCTGCTCCCAACCTGAGGGGTAACGATAGAGAGTGACTGGCTTCATGGGGGGGAACATTTCGCCGAACATTGTTGAAGGCCTGGAAATGGGCCCCAACACCAACACAGGAGGTTGCCTCCACAGGGGCAAGATGATCCTAGATTCTGGCGTGGGCGTTGATGCTTCGGCCACTCTGAGAGCCCGAATGTTGCCGAGATCGGGAGCATGTTCCCTCGGTGAAGGCACACCGCCGAGCTCGGTGTTGGTGTCAGCCTCTAGGCCTCCGGCATTGGCCCGGAATAGGCAACACATCGCCGACGGACCGTCCCTCGGCCCCCAAGAGCGGAACCGCACGTTCCTGGGCGGGGTCGGCGGTCAGGCCACCATTCGCGATCGGTGTGCCACTGGGGGTCCATGCCCTGACCTTCCAGGAGGGCCGAGGAAGAGCACCAGGACCTCGGCGTCCAAATTCCTGTCGGGGGGTCTGTCTTAGACGGTCGAGACAGGTCCGTAGGTTTAGGTCGGGCCTGTCCATTTTGGACGAAAAATGAAAAACACCCCCCCCCCCCCAAAAAAAAAAACGAAAATACACCAGAAATGCCCCAAAATATGTTGAAAAATAGTGCCCAGACTACTTTTTGACTATGTTTGCATTTCCCCCCGTAGAGGGACAGGCCCGACCTCACCGTGGGTCTGGGGAGCTATTCTGAAGGGGCTCCAGAACACACAAATACATACACACAAAAAAAAGATTCCCCATATCTTCCAATACTTTCTGGGTTGCTGTCTTCCCCACCACTTCCCATATTTTCCCATATTTTCCTGGGAATCGACGATTCATTGTGTCTGTGTGCTTCTTTCCCTCCTGATATTCCTTGGCCCTCTGGAGGTTGGGCGTTGCGCAATGGAGGGGTCATAAATGGGGGGGTGTCGCGGGTGGTCCGAAAAGGTACCCAAACGGTACCTAAACGAGCCCCCTGGGGGTCTGGAGGGGCCCGAAAGGGGCACGAAAGGGGACCTGTTCTGACCCCCCCATTTATGACCCCCCCGTGAAGCCACGCCCAAAGAGGGCCAGGGCACTCTCCGCCCGGGAGCCCGCCCATGCCCCCCCGGGCGCTGCCCCCCGCCTCTCGCGGGCCACAGCTCGGCTCTCCGGCGGCCGATGGCGCCACGAGCCCGGGCACCGCGGGCACGCTCCCCCTGGCAGGGCGCACAGCTGCTGGAAGACACCCCGGGGCTGGCAAAACGACACGAAGATCGGGACAAAATCGGATCGGGATCACTCCAAATCTCTGAGAATCGGCGGGTTTGGAGGATGTATTGGGGCGCCGCGGCCGCTCCAGAGCGTTCCGGAGCGCTCTGAGAGCACTCCGGAAGGCTCTGGAGCGATTTATCCCGATGCTAGCCCTGCTTTAGGCTGGGAAGCGGACGACGAAAAACGAAAACGCCCGAGCACCTCCAACCTCGAACCCCCTGGGCCTCTCACGCTGTTCCTGGTTCTCCCGTCCCTTCCCCGGCCTCCCCCCGGAGAGCGCCCCCCCATGTGCCATTCCTGGGGCGTCCCCGCTCTGACCAAGACTCCAATGCGGGCGGGCGTCACTCTCCCGATACCGGCTTAGGGCTGACCCCGAGCTGATACCGAAGGCATTCAGAACACAACAACCATGGGTTCCCGGAGCTCCGCGAGGACCTCTTGGGACGGCGCGGAGACAGCTAAGACAGACCAGGACAACATCGGACCAGGAGAAATCGGTAATCTCTGAGATCCAGCGGATCTGGAGGACGCTGCGGCCGTTCCAGAACGTTCGGGAGCGCCGTGGAACTGACGGTCGCCCGACCCGCATCCTCTCCTTGGCTCGCGGAGCGCGCTGGGGGCGGCGCCGGAAGAGCTGCAAAGCAGTGCTGGGAGGGGGCCCGGCGCCGACCTAAGGAACCACCTCCGATCATGCCGTCGTTTCTCTAGACCTGGAACTGGGTCCAGACTGAGGCTGCGGGCAGCACCTGGCAGTGCGCAAGCTATGTAAATCACATCGGGAAGACCCTCAGCAGCAGGATGGGGCATTGCGGCGTGATGCCGGTCTTTGCGAACGTCCGCGAAAGGCCTCCCCGCACACAGGGCGTTCATTGCTCTCCTCTTCGATCCCCTCCCTGTCCTTCCTCCTGCTCCTCCTCCTCCTCCTCCTCCTCCTCCTCCTCCTCCTCCTCCTCCTCCTCCTCCTCCTCCTCCTCCTACTACTACTACTACTACTACTCTGGTTCCTCCTCCTTCTCTTCCTCCTTCTCCGCTGTTCAGCACGGGCCACGCGTTTCGCCTGAGACTTCCTTAAAACCCTGAAACTTAACAGGTGGCACGGTTTGACACAATCAGGGCGGCCCGTTTTCAAAATGTGGTTCTCGCCCCAGCGCCGCGCACTTTCTGTACAAAAAGCCGCGAGGGGGTCACGGATTGAAGGCGGCCCGTTTTCAAAACAACATTCTCGCCTTAGCGCTGCGCGCATTCGTTTTGAATATTTGCAAAAGCTTCACATCTTGAAGACGGCTACTGTTCTAAACGTGGCTCTCGCTTAGCGCCGCGCGCATTCATTGTTAAACACCGCAAAACTCCCACGGACCCCATGATCAAAATACCAGAAACAATTGCCCGAACAATTCAGGATTACGCGGGCGCAACAACTACATTGATTCGCGGCGAAGATGTCCCAGGAATGGCTTTATGGCGGGATTTAAGATCGCCAAGACGCAACAACCATGTTGACCCGTGTTGCTGGAATCCCGAGAACAATGCGCTGGCATGCTTCACGATCTCCATACGGTTGTCTTCCACGGGGGCAGGCATTTCCTTCAGTGGAAATGAACCGTTGTATGGGGCCTACAAGAGGGAGCTTAGGGGACTGGGTTGTTCCAACATCGCTGATGACTCGTGGGCTCGCAGTGTTTCCTCCTCTTCCCCCTCCTCCTCCTGCTTCTCCTCCTCCCCTCTCCTCCTCCTCCTCCTCCCCCTCCTCCTCGTTTTCCTCCTCCTCCTCCTATTTCTGCTCGTCCTCCTCCTCCTCCTCCTCCGCCTCCGCCTCCGCCTCCGCCAACTCCTCCTCCTCCTCCTCCTCCTCCTCCTCCTCCTCCTCCTCCTCCTTCTCCTCCCCCTCCTCCTCCTCCTCCTCTTCCTCCTCCTCCTCCTCCTCGCCCTCGTCGCGCGGCGAGAAGCGGTCTACGCCACTCGCCCGAGCAGACTTTGAGCGGCGCGCCCAGCGCGCCAGCTCGTCCGCCAGCGCGGCGGCCGCCGCCTGCGCGGTTTCGCGCCCCAGGGCGGTGCGGAAATGGCGCGCGGTGGCGCGGTGCAGCGCCGTGCTCAGCTCGGCCCCTCTGCGGGCGGCGAGCGCGCTGGTGGCTGCGGCGGCCTCCGTCCCGTCGCCCAGCAGTTGGGCAAGCCCGCGCGCCAGCCCAGCGTAGGCGCTTCAGCGCAGCCGGCCCATGCCGCCCTGCTGTTTCGAGCACGAGCGGCAGGACGCGCCTGGGGGAGCGGCTAGCGGGGTAGCGGTTCCTCTTGTCGTTTCCCCCCCCCCCGCGCCACGGCGCCGTCCGCGCCCACCGCCACGGCCAGGGCGCTGGCGTCGCCCGGCACGCTGTAGCGGACTTTGACGTCCACTAGCCGCCGCGGGCAGCCCGCCCGATGTGCCTGCAGGTAGAGCAGCGCATCCTCGGAGTGAGCGTCTTTCTTTTGTCAAGCCTACGCATGAGCACGTTTGGGGTTTTCTCCGGAGGAGCGGAGCGGCGCACCGTCCAACGGCTCCTCCTCGTCGGCTGGGCCCGGCCCTGGCAGCGCGGCCAGCGCCTACCAGCAGGCCGCGGCCAGCGGCAGGCCAGAGGTGTCCAGGTACGCCAGGTCGGGCAGACCGCTCCGCTCCAGCGTGCCCGCCAGGCTCTGTGCCCAGGAGCCCGCCGAGGCCGCCGGGGCCAAGTCCTCCTGGTTTCGGAGGCCGCGCCCGCCGAGGCGCAGCGGCAGCCAGCAGTGGGCGCCCTGGCCCTGCGTCAACGGGCCCAGGTGCGTCAGTCTCTGGTAAGCCTTCAGACTGGCCGCGTCGTAGGCGGAGGCTCCGGCCCGCGCGGTCGCGGGCGGGCTATTTCGCAGGAGGTGCAAGCGTTTCCCCGCGCCACAGTGCCCTAGGAGGAGCCCGGCGGCCTGCGCCGCCGACAGCTTCGGCGCAGCCAGTCCAGGCAGCTCCGCGGGCCTCCTCAGCAGCGTGGCCGCGCGCGCCACGGCCTCGGCGCAGCGCTCGGCGGCGTAAGCAAGCGTCCCCAGGTCCAGGCGGCGCCCGTCCGTCGCGTCCGGCAGGTTCCCCAGTGGCAGTGGCTCACCCATTGGAACACCCACCGGCGTAAGGCCGCGCGGGCGCCACTGTTCCTCGAGCCCGGCCGAGCACGGCGAGCGCGAGGACCAGGCCTGCGTTTTGCGTAGCTGGAGCTCAAAGCCGAGGGCGCCCAGGTCCTCCTGCGTTGCTGGGGCAACCTCCTCCTCCTCCTCCTCCTCCTCCTCCTCCTCCTCCTCCTCCTCATCATCATCATCATCATCATCATCATCATCAGCAGCAGCAGCAGCAGCAGCAGCATCATCATCATCATCATCATCATCATCATCATCATCATCATCATCATCATCATCATCATCATCCTCATCCTGCGATACTCCTCCTTCTCATCCTCCTTCTCCTTATCTTCCTCCTCTTCCTACTACTCTTCCTCCTCCTCGTCAACCTCCTCCTTTGCCCATCATCATCCTCATCCTTACCTTATGTTCCTCCTCATCCTCCTCGTCGTATCTTCAAACGCTTTCTCATCATCATCATCATCATCAGCAGCAGCATCAGCAGCATCATCATCATCATCAGAAGCAGCAGCATATTCACAACCACCACTACCACCACCATCATCATCATCATCATCATCATCATCATCATCATTTACAGCATCATCATCACCACCACCACCATCATCATCATCATCATCAGCATCATCATCATCATCACCAGCATCATCAGCAGCAGCAGCATCAGCATCAGCATCATCATCACCATCATCAGCATCATTATCAGCAGCATCATCATCGTAATCATAGTCAGCAGCATCAGCAACATCATTGTCATCATCAAGCAGCAGCAGATTCAGCAGCATCATCATCAGCAACAGCATCATCACCAGTTTCATCATTATTACCACCAGCATCATCATCATCAGCATCATCATCAGCACCATCATCATAAGTATCAGCATCATCATCAAAAACAACTCTTCTGCTCTGGTTCCTGCTCCAATCCTTGGAGCGGTGCCTCACTGCACGCAACAACGTCCAGGATCAAGACTACACTTCCCCACAGCAAGCACCATCATCATAGGCAGAACGATCATCATCATCATCGTCATCATCAGCAGCAGCAATATAATCATTATCAGCATCATCAGCAGCATCATCATCGTCATCATCGTCGTCAACGTCATTGCCATCATCACGCCAATCACCAGGAGCAGCAGAATTGGCATCGCCAACCGCATCATCATCATCATCATCATCATCATCATCATCATCATCATCATCATCATCAGCATCATCATCATCATCATCATCATCATCATCATAACCATGCTCATCAACATCATCATCAGCAGCAGCACCATCATTATCATCACCACCAGCATCATCATCACCACCACCATCATCATCATCATCGTCATCAGCATCAGCATCAGCATCAGCCTTATCATCCTCAACCTCATCCGCATCCTCTTCATCATCACCCTCATCACCATCAGCATCACCATCATCATCGCCATCACCATCATCATCATTATCACAACTGGCATCATCATCAGCATCATCAGCAGCATCGTCATCATGGTCATCATAATTTCAACCGAACTCGTAAAAAACGTCGTTCTGGTGGTCGTCGTCCTCCTCCGGCTACTCCTCCTCCTCCTCCTTTTCCTCCTTCTCCTCCTCCTTCCCCTCCTCCGCTCCTTGTCTTTAGAAATAACTCCTCCCTGTCGCACCCGGGGGACCCCCAGGCGCGTCGGTCGGGCGGGCTAAGCGTTTCTCCTGAGGCATTTTCCCTATGTATGATCCTGAAGCTTGAAATGTGCAACAGTTTCACGGATGGAGGCGGGGGGGTTGTCAAAATGTAGCTCTCGCCTTAACGTCGCGACCAGTCGTCCTCAAAGAGTTCAACAGGGAAAAACGAAAAAAATGGCTCTCGCCTCAGCGCCGCTCAAATTCGTCCTATGTGTGCAACAGCTTCACGGATGGAGCGGGGTCGTTTCCAAAGTGTCGTCTTTGCGACGCCACCATATAGATTTAGATTTTGCAACAACTTCATGATTGCAGCCGGGTTTCTTTCAGGTCGTTCTCGCCGTTGCGCCGTGCACCTTCGGTCTAAAATGCTGCAACAGTGCCCCGGATGGAGGAGGGTCGTTTTCAAAGTGTGGCTCTCGCCTAGCGCTACACGCGTTCGCCTGAAGCGTGATGCGACAACTTCACGGCTGGAGGGGACGACTTTCAAAATGCGTTTCTCGCCTTGGCGCCGCGCACATATTCGGATTGAAGGTTCGCAGCACCTTCACGGATGAAGGCGGTCGTTTCCAAGCACAATTCTTTTACAAGCTCGCACTAGCTTCACAGATGGAGGCGGTTACACGGTCGGGGGAGGCAGTCCTTCTTCGAAAGCGGGATACCGCTGGACACCTCGTTGTAGCGCATGCCTTCCTACCGACGCGTCGGAAAGATGCAAGGCAGCTCCTCTTCAAAGTAGAGCCTTCGCCCCAATGAAGGCCGAACTGTGCTGGTCTTGCAAGGGAGGGCGCTTCTTGTAGTGAGCAAGAACACTTTAGGGGCGTATGAGGAGGCGGCTTGGGACGGGAGGGTGTATTGCGAATCGTTTGTGCATATTTGGTTTCCTCTAGCCCTCCTCATCCTCCTCCTCCTGATCCAATTCCTCCTCGCGATCATCCTCGTCATTGTCGTCCGCCGCCTCTTTCCACTCCCTCCTCGCTCCTTCTCCTCGTCGTTCCTCCTTTTCCTGGGCCCCATCTCCCTCCACAAGCTTCTCGGTTTCTCACC